TATGGAATATCTATTATTATCAATGTTATGTTTTAGAATTGAACTTTGTGGTTTGCAACCAAAATGAGTTATGTCAGAGCCTTGCTCATTTATCGATGCATTGGGTGTTCATGTAATCCCTTTCCCAAATGAATAAAGGCAAGCATTTAAAATAATCACAGACTGAGGATCGTTTTTCATATGTTGCTCTCCCGGTTTGACAAACATAGACTTGCTGTGCTATTTTCTTTCCCCTCAAGTTGTTTTTCTTACAAAGGCTGCTACAGGCACTGCGATTAGACACACAAATGACAGAGAAAGCAATTGTCCTTGGGCGTACATTCTTCTTCTGTGCACACAATGTCAAACGTATGCTTGACAAACATGCTCCTTTGTTAACTTGTCTCAGTTCAGTAAGTACAAACTGAATGATTGTCTGCAGTTTGACTTCTACATGTTTCCTCAGAGCTGTTGTACTTACCTGCATTAAAAAGGCTGTGTTGAGCTGGTTGGTTAGCTCAGTTAGCTGCAGGCCTGGTTTTTGACGTAGAGTGATATGAACAGTGTAAGTTCAATTCCCAAACTAGTTGAGGTTGTCATGAAGGGCCTGCCATCTTGACCTTGCCCCCTTGCCTGAGGTGTGGTGACCTACAGGTTAAACCACCACCAGTTGTCTCTCTTTTCCTGAAGAGAGAACAGTCTCATGGTGACTTTACTTAAATGAAACAACATAATGCATTAGGATGACAGAGTATTGTTCTTCCAGCTGCACAAGGACAATCAAGGCATCTCAGAGCATCTTTTTAACCATTATTGAAGGAAAATGGGCTGTGCTGAACCCAAGTCCCACATGATTGAGACTCCAAATTGCAGAACTCCCTCTAATTCTGGAACAATTAATGCCAATTGATAAAAATCATTCCAAGCAACCACAAAAGGTTCTAAATCAGAAAAGTTAGACCTGGAAAAATAGAGACTTTTAAAACACTGGATTCCATCTCATCATTCGCCTAAGGAAAGAGATCAAAGCTAGAAGTGCATATAGTGCCCATCCCAAGTCACAGTCATAGATACACAGCATGGAAACAGACCCTTCGGTCCAACTCATCCAAGCCGACCAGATATCCTATATAAATCTAGTCCCATTTGCCAGCATTTAGCCCATATCCCTCTAAACACTTCCTCATGGTTTCCTTCCCAGCATCTCAAACAAGGGTAAATTCCCTATGGAGTACCATTGAAGGCTGTGATTGCGATGAGGAAAATAATTGGAAAAACAACTGGTACAAAGTAACATTTCCAGGGGTGGAAAAAAATTCAACAAGAAGGAAAGATTCTATTCTATCCTGTAAAGATCTCCTAGGAGCTTGTTACCAATCATTCGATTAATTTCAATCAAGCTTCGCTTCCAAATGATGAGGGCAGTGTAACAGCAAAGAAGAAAAGAAAAAGGAAGTAAATCCTATGTTCTGTGGCCCATTACTATGTCCTGCACAGTGTGTCCAAGAGACCTCTGAGCTAAGAATCTGCCTCTTTAGTCGTGTGAGGATCTATAGTAGAAACTTATAACCCTGATCAGATGTCGCTCTCAAATAAATGACTATAAACACAGAATTCACAAGTGGAAAAAGACGCAGCCATGTCAGAACATAACTGAGTGCTTAGTGAAGTGACAGAATGGACACAGATTGCCACTGTGCTGTAAACTTGCAACAAACCTTAGATTTACTTCAAGCAGGTTCCTCGTTAACCCACCCTGCTGGCAATATTCAGTGTGAAGGCCCAGAATTATTTAACAAAAGAACCTGAGGCAATGAGGGGATCAAGAAGCTGTGGTCTGGATAGTACAACCTAAAAGGGCAGTGGAGGCAAATGGCAAAATTTCAAAGGATACGTGAAGAGAAAAACAGCTACAAAGGGTCAGAACAGGCATGATGGATTGAATGGCCTGGTTTTGTGCTGTGTCATGATATGAATGGAATTTAATTCCCTCCACTTTGGTGAGGTTGGAGCTGAGGGATATTTAATTGGTTGGGAAGGCAATGGGTAGGGTCTCTGCCATTCTACCCCTGTCTCAACTAAATCTGGGACAGGAAGATTAATGAGTGGTTTACTTGCCCAGGAGCAATTTGAGACCCTTAATTGGCCATTCTATACACATTATTCAAATGCTGGGGTTCACCCATTTGCTGCTTTGGAAACCTGAGAAGCAAACACTGTCAGGCCTGTTGTGGTCTCCCAAAGGGGTTGCTAATTCAAAGATATTCAGCACGAGGCATCCCACATCAGGAAAGGGAAGGGGTTTAGTGAGGACAGACCCATTGAGAGCCACACCCCTGCTCTCACTTCCAATCTCCTATTCGCCATTAGCCCTGTGCCCCTTGTAATTCGTGGATCTCTGGTGAGGACACTCCTGGCAGCTACTAATGTTGCAGGTGGCATTTACAAGGGAACAAGAGACTACCAGCTTCTGATTGTCGATGAATTCTTAACAAGCGATATCTCCACCATTACAGTCCTGAACACTGGGAAAGCCCAATGGTGGCCAATGTGATGTTGTTTAATATTTAAAAATAATTTGGATGTAAAATAAAGGCAGGAGGTGGTGGGCCATTTCTGTGAAGGTAACTCTTTTGTAAACAGGTCAGAAAGCATTTTGAATCAGGAGCCTAAGTGCATTAATTCCCAGAAAATCTGTGACTGTGGTCAAATGTGTAGAAGGGCTCCTGTGGTATTAATGGATAAAACGTTCATACTGTTGACTTTATGACAGATCGAGTAACCACATTTATTTTAGTTGAGTTTAGCATTGATTTATTTCAGAGTTCAAGTTCAGATCTGACAGTTCAAGGTGTTAGTCCAGAAGAAGCCAGAGTTCAGTTAGAAAGGAGAAAAGATTTCTTCTAACGTGAGAATCATATTTCAGTTGTGGGGATCCAATTGACCTAGCTGATATCTTTTAATTTTGTGGGGTTTCTAAGCCAGGAAGGTTTAGATAGAAATCTCCAAGTTTTTTTGAAATGAAATGAACTGAACAGAACAGAACTTCCTCTGTTCTGAGGAAGGGTCACCGGACCCGAAACGTTAACTCTTTTTTCCTTCACAGATGCTGCCAGGCCTGCTGAGCTTTTCCAGCAACTTTGTTTTTGCCTCCAACAGTTTCTTGGTTTCACATGGAGTGAATCGAATTGGCTGAAGACTGGTGTCAGAATATTCAAGCGGTTGGCCTAGTACTGGAAAGTGGGATTATTGTAGATAGTAGCGTATTTTTTGGCAGTACAGACTCAATGGGGTGAAGAATCTCTTCTGTACTATATGATTAGGAAAGAATTGTGACAAAGAACTAGTGAGTTTCTGAAGTTGTGACATTGTTGACTTGCTCGCGGAGCTGGCTTGTTCTCGTTCAGACTTTGTCACCATGCTAGGTAACATCATCAGTGCGGCCTCCAATGAAGCGAT